ATTCTTCCCGCAAGTATTCCACGATTCTCTCCAATATTAAACGTAACACTCGAGCATGCACGTCGAAAGGGGTAATTTCAGACGCCATTCGACGGATATTGCATCCGAGGTGGAGGAAGGAAAGGCCGGAAAGAGGGCGGAGGACGAGGGCGATGTGGAACGACATGAATTTTCCACACGGAAATTTCCGCGGAAACCGGAACGCGATCACCTGAGTCTCGAATCCTACGTCGCATAATATTTGCGAGTGCATCGTTAAGTCGGAATGGTATGAAATATTGCGATTGCAGCCGCGACGTCGCGTCTCGACGCTGCAACGGAAGACGACACTGACCGATATCAGTCCTTGTGAGAAATTGCTTGTTTAACAATCCCCATAAATTTTGTAGTTGCCTGCACAGCGATACCAAGATAAAATGTGATATCAGAAAATTAAGGACACAAATGTAGTATATATGCGTCTATATTTTTATATGAATTGATAAAAGAAAGGCCTAATTGTTACTTATATTGATATGTTTAAGAGAGATCAAACTATGAATATGTCAAATTTTGATATGAATTGGAATTGCGTTCTTACAATCTCTCGGAACTTTCAATCTTTAGAAACTTTTCTGGACTGAAATTTTTTTAATATATGCCAAAGTGATATTCCAACAGAAAACTGAGACCAGTCTAGAGTCTCGAAAAATCGATTCCTCTTGGTTTCTGAGGATTAAATATCTCGAAAATTAAATTAATACTAACAATGCTATAAATAATTTCTCTCTTTTCCGGGAGAAATCCTCGGCCGGATGACGAGGAACAAGTAATTCTGCTAATCCAATTTATCCATCGATGCTATTGCAAAATACAATTCGCGAGAACAATCGAATAGTGCATCGGAGATTTTAATCGGGACAGAATTCACGGATTACCCGGCCGAAACATGTGATCGGTTTAATGTGTGCAAATTGCGCGCGGGTTATTCGCGGCGCCCACGGCTAGTATTGTGCATACATACGTCTATAAATACGCCAGGTCGTCCTATCGAACCCAATCGCCCCGACATCGCACGATTGTGCATTGCACGAACGAGCAGCGAGCGAGCGAGGAACCTAAAAACCGCCCGACCTTCCGCGTTTCGTGCAAAAGCAATAGCCGCGTGCACACACACGTGCTAATTCAGTCACGAACTCTCCTCAAGGGCAACAATCATTTCTGTCATCATTGTATATCATTTTTCGATTCACCACTCGTGAGTCGAGCGGAAAAATTAATCGTCGATAATTTATGTCTTCTCTAAAACAGGGTGTCTAGCGGTCAGGGAAATCTGGAAAACCGGGCATATTTATCTATTTTATATTATATTCTACATTTGTCTCAATAATTTGAATTTTTTTATTAAATAAATATATAAACTTTTCCTCGATTCCCATTTCAATGTGTTTGATAGAGACAAAACTAAAAAATTTGATATAATATAAATAAAAAGGTGGTTATTTAAATAGTTTGTAGTGACATGTTTGATTTAAACTTTTGTTTTTTTAACTTCAAAAATATCTCAAGGATTTTATGATGTAACATTTAATTGATTTATCATATAGATGTATATAAATTATATATTTGGAAAAAATAATACTAAAAAGTCCGGGGAAAAATTAATTTCTGGTTTTGGAAAATCTGAAAAAGTCTGGGAATTTTATAAATCTGGAATTGTCAGGGAAAAGTCAGCAAATTTTACTATTTATCTGGATTTTGTCACATTATTCTACATCTGCCTCGATAATTTGATATTTTTTATTAAATATCTCGAGGATTTCATGATTTAACATTTAATTGATTTATCATATAGATGTATATAAATTATATATTTGGAAAAAATAATACTAAAAAGTCCGGGGAAAAATTAATTTCTGGTCTTGGAAAATCTGAAAAAGTGAGGAATTTTTTCATTGAGTCTGCTGGACACCCTGTAAAAAGATTTTCGATATTTTGCGCTTGTTTCCGTTTTTGCGAATGTAGGTATAGTTCGAACAAGGATTATCAACTATAGATTTTGATAGAAATAATAACAGGAATTTTTGTTCTCTCATCCGGACGAGATTCCGGGGGTCGAGTAACGAGCTCGATGAAGTGTGAAAAGCGAATTGGTCACGAACCGAGATCGGTATCTCGAATGATGCGGGCAAGAGCGAGTTTCTGCTTCGCGGAAATAAATTGCCGTCGCGTGGCGGCTTATGAATATGTTTCGATACACCACGCCGTTTTTTCATCGATTTGTTAATTGAATTTTTTTCTCCTCGCTGTTATCTCGACGGACAGATCTATGAGATTAATGTGCCGAATGTTGTGTTAGAATTCGAAAGAAGAATTACATTTCTCCAAGATGTAAACGGTATAATATGAAACGTAAATGATGTAGAAATTATTTATTAATTCAGGATAAATTAAATAAAATTATTTTTTTTCTCTCTACTAATAATTATATTTAGCAAATTATTGGAAAATGAAGGGAATAAATGTAAACTAAATGGAACTGACATTTTAATAAAAGATTAACTTAATAATAATAAGTAACAGTTACGAAATAATAGAACGCGATATAGCTTATTATTCATGATTAAATAATCAATAATTTTTTATACGCATACCTAGAACAATTCAACTAAATCTCTGCTTGTTAAACTAATGATGATCAATTTTGCAAATGTTTTTCTAGAATTAAAATTACGGAGAATAAATTGAAAATCTCAAGGCTACGAAATAATTGTAAGACGAGTAATAGTATTTTCTACAGAGTGCTAGTGTAGCATTGTAAAGATGTAATTTTCTCTATCAGCATGGCAATCGTGAATTTTTCCAACTTTAACGTCACGTAAAAAGCGACGCTTGGAGCGTAGATTGCTTAGGGTTAGGGAAAATAGTCGACATCTTTTCACGCGAGCTCACTTCCTTTCCCCTTGTATTTCCTCTTGTTTCTTGCGCCAACGCGAATCGCCACTGCATTGCGTGGCAATGCACGTCGCAATGTTGAATATTCAACGAAACGTATGTCCGCGGGTCTAAGTAAATTCCCTCTGAAATGCACTTAGCCCCAAAAGCATCTGGTGTAATTTATTTGGATCACGATATCGCGATATCGCGACCGAGAGCGTATTTATCATAGTACTTGCTGCGAGTTCGGTTAAACATTCGCGACACGGTGTAGGTACAATAAAATTCCGCTCCGAGCATTTCGCGTATTTAATGCCAAATAATCATTGGATTCTTTTAACGACGTTCATCGAATCTAATTAATTCGAATGCAGTTCTGCGATATATTGATGACATGAAATTTTGATGAAGGACGCTTATAAGATATATTAAAATTGCATTAGAAATCCAAAATTATCGATGCAATCCACTGAACGATACATTCGATAATCACGAGTATAAACGGCCGGTGAATCCATCTATAAATAATACGGGGAGAGACATTTATAAGCAACGCGATCAATGATGGCGTCGTCCACAATGACTTATTTTTGCGTCACGCGCCGTCGATCCCTATTTGCTGTCGGATCTAAGAAAGATGATGAAGGAACTCTCTTTCAGGAAGCAGAATAAAAATGGCGCGTAATTGTGAAACGTCAGCGCCGATAAGAAGAGTTTAGCAATCCATAAAACACAATAACTCGCAATTTTATCGAATATCGTTATTTTTTTTTTAATCTAGAAAGAAACGGAATTTTTACACATCTCGCGTCGGGGAAAGAGCTTTTTTAAATTTTATGGAAATACGCAACGCAGATATTTCATCCCCGAGCGAGTGGATGACCACAGGGATCGAATTCAATTTCCCGTGACGTTCAACGTGACTCTGTCACGCGCGTATATTCAGAATTTACTGGACACTCGAACAGAACAGGTCCGAAAACTGTCCAACTTACATTTGTGGCGTTTATGCGTTTGCCACGTGTACCCTGTAAACTCGATATTCAGTCCAATAAGTGCAACTCGAGCTCGGTTAATGTACACATATTCTGAGACGAGGAAGCGAAACTCAGTGTGTTAACAAAGTGACGAAAAAACCTGACAGCTTCATCGAGTTTGTTATACTTGCTTGTTATACACAAATGTAAAATATGCACATGACGTAAATCATACACCTTTTAAATTATTCAAGTCTCTCTCTCTCTCTCTCTTATTTATTTCGAGAAAAATTCTCCGGAGCAATTTTCCGAATTATAGTATATAAATTCATAATCGACAATATTATACTTTTATGTTTGCTTGCGAATATTAATTTTATACTTTTATTTTATACCGGGATGTAAAGTTTTAAATTACCTTTAATACACTACATATTACTCGACATATTTTATGGTTTATGGCTTACGGTTTATGATACCTGAATGATTCATTGAGAGAGCGAGCTGTTCCATGAAGTTTAATTAAGAAAGATTGTCCCCTTTAATTAGAATATTCACATAGCTAATATATTTCCAATATTGACGTACAAGTTTTTCTTCGTTATGTTTTTTACCGTATAAAATGGCGTGTAAAAAAAATCATTGATCCTTGCTTTTCAAGTTTATTCTTCCGTCGAAAGATCGAGGTGCGCTCCATCAAGTAACAAATAAACGAGCTACTTTACAACTACGTACTTTGCAGATATTAAAGATCTTGCAAGCTATTCGTAGCACATTCAAACTTTTTTATAAGGTGTGTAAAAAGAAGCGTATGTATATGTTGGAAAAACAAAACAATATTTCTCGGTGAAAATTAAACGAAAATGAATTTCAAACACTCAACATATTTTTTCCAATATTTTTAATCAATCCCTAACAGCATAAAATATCCGAAAGAGGACATCGAACATCTTCTGGATATCCTTTAAACATCTTTTGGATATACGCGCAGTTAAGGATTCAAATAATTTTTTCAAATCAAAATTTCACAAAGAATACCATTCATTCGATATTCTCGTATCCTTGTTCCCGAATCGAAACCCCGAAAATGGAAAGTGAGATCCATACCTGAATATTTTTCGAAGGAAAGGTCGTTTTGTTTTCGCGATTTCTAGCACATTCGAGGAGCATTGTCTCCGGCACTATAATCCACCAAACATTTTCCATCCTGCTATCCCCGGGAGGATATAGCTCGCTCTCTCGGCGAGTCACTCGATTACGTTCACGTGGCACGTGCTCGCACGAGTAGCAAAAGCGTACGAGTGTCGCGACGCCCTGGAAAAAGGGCGAGAGAAGGAAGGCGTCGCGTGTCGGCGTCTGCCAACTACACATACATACACGTACGTGTAACATGCATACGGCCGTTATTAGTTATTAACGCGACCGCGAGCGGCCGCTTTTTTTTCTCCATCTACACGAGGGTGTGCTCACGCAGCACGTCACGGAGATCGATCCTCGGCCACGAGGTCGAGGGCTGAAAAGTGTTACGAGAGAGAGAGAGGGAGGGAAGAGGAGGTTAAGCACAGGCTTTGCCTTCTTCTTGGCCGAGGCCGAGACGAGGAACCGCCCTTAACCCTATCAAATTTTTAGCGAAACCGCGTCAGCGGTTTAGTCGAAGAATCGATGGTGAACGGGAACGATAACGAAGACAATAAACAGTTCCTCGAACGGTTATAGTAAAGTTGAAAAGAAGGCCGAAATGTCGGTGATGAATTTAGATTGTTCTTTGAACTTTCTTCAGCTTGTGTTTCTTCTAATTTCATTCTGAACTTGAATATGACGCAAGACTTTGGAATCATCTCACCTTTTAGAATAGATTTTTTAGTAACGTTTAAAGGAACAAGTCTGTTGTCTTTTGAATCTTGACGTTAAAATAAATAGGAATTTTAGTTTCCATAATTATGGGTTTTCAAGGATATGAATTTTAATTCTGTCAGAAGAATATTACAATTTTCGTTTCTTGAATTATATGTTAATCATATGTCTTTAGAATACTTTTGCAAGGCTTTGGAATCATCTCATCTTTTAGAATAGATTTTTTAGTAACATTGTGCTTTTTAAAGGAACAAGTCTGTTGTCTTGAATCTGGACATTGAAATAAATAGGAATTTTAGTCTCCATAATTATAGGTTTTCAAGGATACGAATTTTAATTCTGTCAGAAGAATATTACAATTTTCGTTTGCTGAATTATATGTTAATCGTATGTCCTTTAAGTTGTCAAAAGATATTGAGACATCTTCTCCGAACTTAGCTCGACATTTCTAAAGCTGGCAAGTCACGATCTTAGCTTCTGGAAGCGATTATTGTCAGTGGCAATATTTTTCAAGGCAACACTTGATGCTACCCCACAACCTCCAAGCCAATTACCACATAAGCTCGACTGCTGGTATATATTTTTAGAATCGGAACATCTCTCGACGATGAAAGCTCCTAAAGCAAAGAAAAACAACTTGAGCGAAACGCAACTATAAAACTTGATTTGTAACTAATTAGCAGACTATTTTCAAATCGTAAATATTGTGAACCCTCTAGACTTGACACTATATTTCCAGAGGGTTGACATCACCCTCCTAAATTTATATCAGCAATATTTTTTTCAATGCAACAATACGTATATTACCTTCAACACGCAACCAACAAAATCAATTTAATACAACATAATTATTCTCATATAGTAATAATTCACAAAGTCCTGTTCCCGCGAAAGAATGGGCGAAAGCAGCGCTCGCGATTTCGAGAGAGGAAGAGAGAAAGAGAGAAGGGTGACATACAACGCACACGGTCTTGCCATTTCGGTTTTTGATCGGCACGACATCTCCTTATAGAGTCACAAGTCCGCGGAAAGTAGCACGGAAGCTTTTAAAGATGGCTAATTCTACGTTGTCTATTCCTTCACGCGATATACGGAAGCTCGGGGAAGGTGGAGACAGAGATAGAGAGAGAAAGAAAGAGAGAACGAGAGACAGAGAAGGATAGATAGAAAGATAGATAGAGAGAGAGAGAGAAGGTGGACCGATCGAAGGCACTCACGTCTCTCATCTCGAGGCCGCGGCGACGCGCTCGCGTGCGAGCGTCGTCGTTCCAGCGAGTCCGGCACCAATGACGGCGATGACGATGACGGCGACGACGACGGCGACGGAAAATAAATGCAATAGTGCGACGCGCGGTGCACTACTCGCTGCTACTGCTGCTGCTGCGGACGCGCACGTCGGTCGATGCGCCAGGCGCATCGCCCCAGCAACAACCACGGCACGAAGCTCACGACTGGCTCGTCGCCGGGGGTTGCCTTCGCTTCGAGTTCACCGGCTCGTCGAGGGAGAGGCGAGGGTAAGAGGCGAAGCGATGGACGTCGCGACGTCTGCCGGCGCTGCGAGAAAACCAACCCCCGAGCAAGCGCGGGCTGTCGATGCTTCATTGGAGGGTGGCTTCCTGGTGACGGGGGTGCGACGGAGCTGTTGTTTCGATACCGCCGCGCGATATTGCCGAGCCGGAGAAAAGGACGGAGAGTGGTATTTTCGGAGCTAATAACGCTCCAGCTTCAAGAACCTAAGATTCTGACGCCTTATATTTTATTCTTTATTTTATTATATTTTTTTATGTTATATATCTCTTTTTTTTTTTTTAATACAATATTTTGTTAGAAATTTTTAGAAAAAATAGGACTGTTTGTTAATAGTGATATTTTGTTTTCAATTGTTTATTTGTTTGTTTTTTTTCTTAATTTTTTTATATTAATTATTAATGATTAGATTTTTATCCATCAAATCAGTCGTTTATCTACATATCTCTCGCGCGTGGGAAGAAATATTAATTTCTCACGGAAATATTAATCGGTTTCGTTAATGACAAATGGGTCGTGAAGATCTTTTGCGGAAATAATGAGACGCGGATTTAATTTCCTAATGACGTATTCGCTGCGGTTAAAGTGGCCGGATATTTGGCGAGTGTATAGATCGTTCGCCACATATGGCGAGAAGGAATTCATATTCGATATCAATTAAACCCATTACCAGAATGCATATATCCAAATTCCTCCGGTTCACTACTTCTCTGACGTCGTTGGCTCGGCCTTGAACCACTTTGCGCGAAACCAATCGCGAAACGTGGTATTACACTGATAACAATCTAGGTATCTGGGTGACTCTTTCCACGTTTAGATTAACACGTCTCGAGATAATTGTTTGACGGAAATGGAGTAACTTTGAATTATCTCCGAATAAAGATGAATTGTTCAAATTTAAACGTCGCAATCGAGATCTTATGTTATATGCAGTAATAATTGCTCCGTAAAGCAAATTTAACGAGTCAGATATATTCAAGAATATAAGGAAATTAAACTAAAAAATTATTAAATTAATAAATATATATTTCAGTCTAATAGATCATTTATTTGAAACTTTTACATCAAATCGATATTATTAGTTTCAAATAAATGATTTATTTGGCAGTATTAAAATAAATACTTATTCCAATTCAATAAATTTTTTTTCAGTGCAGACATAAATTTAAATAATTTATTGTGTTTATAATATTTAATTTTTTCAATTAAATTTCTTCCGTCACTTGATGAAAATATGACGAGGCACTTGAAAAAAAAAAAAAAAAACATGATAAATTCTTCCCGTCTAAAATAATGGCCACCCAACCTATGTCTTCCATTTTATTTCGCTTAATCATCCCGAGTATCGCGGAAAATCATTAGAACGATCGGTACAGTCCTTCTCGTCGGGACGGAAGTCGGCAGCTTTCGACGCCGTTGAATGATCGTGAACCGGCAGACGAAACCATTAATTTCGTTCCGCTTGGAGCCCTTTTATCGGCCTGCACGTTCGAATATTCTCACCTTGCAGCGAGAGAGATCAACAGGTTCGCGTGTCGGATGTGCCGACACGCCGGAAGTCCACTCGTCGGCCACGTGAAATCATTCCGCGAGATACCGATCGGTCCGATTTTTCAACGAGATAGGAGCCGCGAAGGATCTGTGAAATGGTTCTTTATCTCTTACGATTCGCGATATCGATCTCGAATTCCCCCTCGAGCGAGTAAAAGTGATCTTAAGACATCTCCTTAAATGTATGACTTTCTTTTTTATCGCCGATTTTAGAATATATTTCCTCCATTCTCGTTTACGTATTTTAAACCGGGACGACTAGTACACCCGACGTGGAAATACGTGAAATTAATGAAAAAGGGAAGGAATTTCGTTCACGAGATCGTTAAACGGGTTAACGGGAGGTAAAAAGCGACGGAGGAAAGAATAGAAATCGACGGGGCGTCGAATCACGGTAGCTTTACGACCGAAAGGGGTTGTCGAGGAGGAAGGTGATAAAAACGCACAACGTGTAAAAGTGTAGGCCATCTATTCTCTTTTGTCAGGTCGCGTACTACATTACAGCTTCGTCCTGGCTCTCCTCTTTTCGTTTTTCTTTTTTTTTCCCGAGGAGTCGTCTACGTGAGAAATATACAGCTAATTAGACAAACAGATACGAAGAAGGGAAGTAAGTACAAAAAATTGCGTAAGACTGACGTCTTGGGGAAACCTTATTCGAGCTAAGTATCGTCGGGATACTCGACCACATTTGTGTTTTTTTTCGCTCTTTCTCTTTTTCGGTTTTGTTTTTTTCTTTTTTCCTCTTTTTCTTGGTTGTCTCGCGCAGTTTCGTAAAAAAATGTATCAACGTGAAAAACCGACTGGCCGATATGATGAAATGGAATGATTCTCGATTAAACTGATTAACACATATGGATTTCGATTCGATTCGATTCGAAGGTCCGCCGGCAAAAACCAGGCAAGTTCACTTTTTTCAGACAAATTGAGTCGTTTATTATTTAGCGCTCGCTTCCAGTAATGGGGTATCGATTGATATCGTGAAAGAGACGTAAAAAAAAAGATAGGTCCACTGTTTCAAAATTTAATTGCCTTGAAATTATTCACATTTAAAATCAGAGAGGAGATACATGTGATTTCGACCTTGCGGCTTTTAATTATTCACTAATGAAATATTAGCGAATATTATTATTATTAATTATTGATATGATTTAATAGTATTCTTCATGCTTTCTAAAATATTTAATTGAGTAAAGAATTTAATACAGATCATGACAGTGTCTACTTCAATTTATGAAGCATATTGATTTTGTTTTCGATTTGTTTTATGTACAAATATTTACAAATTACTTTTAACATGACTCTTTTCAAAATACATGCTTAAAATATATGTATATGTTACAATTTCTAACACAAAACACATTGAAAATATATTTTCGCCGTTTTACGCTATAAATTCTTACGAATTTATAGAGAAATTAAATTAATTATCGTACAAACTAAATGTATAAATAAAAAGATTTCAATTTTATTTAATTAACTAATTGTTTTTTCAATAAAATGTTCTCAATTGTTCCAAGATAATGGAAAAAATAAATTTGTCTGATTCTTATAACAATATTTTATCTTACTAAGATAAAATGAAGCTTTTTCTGTGCAATTTTCAGTGGAAAAATATATATAGATTTATTTAGCGGTCGTTTATTCTTATTTCCGACCTCTCGCTCGACTTGGGCGACAAAATAAGATTTCTCTTCGTTCTTGGAAACTTTTTTCCGAGTTTCCTCGTAATATTAGAAAAAGTGGACTTGTCTGATCAGTGGCGGTCGACCTTCTTTCTCTATTTCGTTGCAGAAAGTCGAAAAAAAAGAGATTCTTTTATCACAGAATTTTTTCTTCGCCTTCGCGCAATTCGCAAATTCGCGAGGACAAAAGGACAGAATGTACGACGGCGGCAGTTCTCTAATCTCGCAGATCCTGTTTTTTTTGTTTAAAATATACGTGAGAATAGCGATATATAATAATTGACAGTTTTGACACGAGAGCACACGTGGCCTCTCGCTCTTGCTTGGTCGAGTTTACCGCGCTATGCAAAAGTTACAATTATTATTATTCACAAGGACCTCAAGGATCCGCCGGAAACGGAGGCAAGTCGCTCGTCCCGTTTTAAATTATCTATAATCTCGTTTTCGTTTTTTCGTGAAAAAAACACACGTATTATAATGTATAGTGTATATACACGTACACACACGCGCAAAGTTCTGTCGTATAAGTGCCCGTTATTCTTATTATACATTTAATGCTAAACACGATAACGTTGTCTTACAATAACGAAAACACTCTTTGTGCATTATTCTGACACAACTAGATCGCGTTTCGTAATATCGTTCAAACTTGATGTATATCAGACAGATAACAGTCGTAAGAAATAAGAGACCATATTTTAATGTAAAATATGGCTTTTTCAATAACAATAAGCGAAAGAGATAGCAAGATTAGCTTGGTCCTAGTTATTTAAATACAATAATGCTTTTATAATATCGTGTTTCATGTCAGATAAATATCATTCGGGATCACGTTCGTATTTAGCGCTAAATATGAATTACAATAAAGAATAAAAAGGAAGGGATGTGTATATATTTCTAAATCTCCAATGATCTCTCACGTTACGTTTCAGTTGACTTTTATCAAGACAAATTAGGCAAATGACGAGATCGAGATCGGAGAGATATCGCGTTTAACGTTACAAACGCGATATGTTAAAGCGGCAAGAATACGGGACCCTTGTTTGAATGTTTGCATCATCGTGGCATCGATAAGAACCTCGCATGTGTGACTCACGCTAAAAAACAGACGCGCGTCTGGAATAATGTTAGAGTAAGCTCCCGATTGCGCAATTAAATATACATACATATTATGTGTGTTCGAGTACGATTCTAATCGTGCGCACGTTTACGCATTTCCGGTCGCATGACTGTATGCTTAATCGTACTTCGGCGCTTATTTGCATCGCATCGGGAAGCGAAAGAGCCGAGCTGTCATGGTAAATTAATTAATTAATTAATTAACAGTGAGATTCGCTCCTTTTCTCATCAATTTCGAGACACGTTGAAAGAGAAGATGTGCGATCGATCGAGGTAATTGTGATCGCGCTTTTTCGCGATTGGTATATTTTATAAAAATTGTGTTCATTGTAAACCATCATCGTTTTTAAATTACGATGGCGAAAATGAGTCGTAATATTTTGATTTAACGATATGTATTTTATTAATAGTATTAATTATATAATTAGTATGGTTAATATTACTAATCAACCACGATACCGATATTGATTAATAATAGTAACCATCAATTAATATTACCGATAGTGTTAATTAAGAAGATGGGGCCAACACTCTCTAATATTATTATCCTGATATTAATAACATGATAATTAACATTGTTGCTTAATATTTGATTCGTTATTTGGAACACGTTCCGAGATCACATTTCTTTTCCGTCACAATCACCCCGATCGATTTGAGTCTCTATAATCTCGTGTAAAAATTCACTCATAACTGTCCGAAACTGTCCTAGCTTGCGTTATCAGACTTCGAAGATCGTTCTCCTCGATCTTACAAATATTCATGACGTCGTTCACGACTACCGTTTGTGATTGTGAGCGCTGCCCTTGCTCTTGGGACTGTCCGAGGTCGCGTCGTTGGGTTCTCTCCTCGGTCTCAGGATGAAATTAAGATTGTGCGCGGTATTCACAGCATAGTAGACATTGGCCGAGGTCGGTAGCACCATTTCCCGATCGGGTAGCACCTGCGCCAAGGTGTACTGATCCGGATTACCCTCGATGCCGAGCTTCAGCATGGCGTTTCGGATCACCTGCGGCGTCCGCTCGTTGTTGGACAACATGATGGATTTGTAAAGCACCACGCCCTCGGTCTCCACGTTGTCCGTTTCCATAGTGACCTTGATGATGTAAAAGTCCGGGGAACTTTTATGCGAGTGACTGGGACTGGACAGTCCGGCGAGATTCGGGGTACTTCCGTTAGCTGGGGCAGTAGTGCCCGATGGAGGTGCTAAACGGCTTTGATGATTGCCACCTCCACCGGAGCTCAGAGACACGTCGAGGGAAGGTAGAGACGAACTCGAGGACGAACTGGACATTTGCGAGGGCGAGGTTCTTCGGTCCAATGAGTTGTGAGGCGAGCTCGGCAGAGAGTCGAGGTCGCAGTAGAACTGGGAACTGCTGGAGCTCGACGTCGACGCGATCGAGTCGTTTTTCCGATGACCCTGATGATTCTGAGAGAGAGAGAAAGAGAGATCAAATAAAACTGGATTTATATAGCCAAATATAAATATTTTTCTAGCTAAATAAATTAATAAGGCACATGTGTGTAGCTTAATTAATTTAGCTTATATAATTTTGGAGAGAAAATGTTTTGAGCGGCGTGATTAAATTAATTGATAAATTAAATGAAAATATTGAATCGAAGATGCTGACTTGTTTCTTTTTGCCGCGATTGTTGAGAGTGTTGCCCGCCGGTGGTGACTCAATTTGACAGCTGAGCTTGTAAGCTTCCCGGTCGTCCAATACCAAAACGGAATGGAACCAACGATCGAATGTGGGATCCGTGTTAAAGTTATATGCGTTCGCCGCACCCTGTAAAAGCCGTATCCTCGCAAGCACTTCGAACTCTTTTCGTCTCTTGTCGAAATTGATGAGACCATCCGCTATCGAGTCCGGTATTGCCGTATCGATCATCGTTAGATCAGTCAGGAAGGTGCCCAGATATGGTATTGTGCCGTAGCTAATATTCTGAAAGAAAATTTCAAGATTGAAACACGAATAGTGTAGAATCAAATCCATTTGCCTATCTAAATATTAATTTTTGCACAATGCAGATCTATTTAGAACAGTGGTTCTTAATCTTTTTCAAGTTACGGAATACTTTTGATGATAAGAAAAATTTGCGGAACATCAAAATCATTAAGATTATAAAGGTAATAACAAAAATATGCATAGACATATTTTTTATTAAAAATTATACAGTACAAATTATGTAACAATAAAAAAAGTTAAATTTAAATTTAAAAAATAATATTTATAAAATGAAAAATTATAGTAGTGTTTTTTCTATGTAGGTAGCCGTGCTTTCATAATATCACGGAACACTGGTTAAGAACCACTGATTTAGAAAATATTCTTAAGCTAATGTTAAATAAAATTTATTATTCTAATTTTACAATTATGATTCTAAAATAAAATTTCTAATTTTGTGAAAAAGCACTATATTAACTTAGATGTTATTGATAACTTTATGTTACGCATTTGTTAAATTTAAAATTTCCGAAAAAAATTGAGAGAAAATTCACAAGTGTATGCCATAAAAGAACGCGATGATACTTACGCCCGCGTTAGTATTTTGTTTTTGAAAGAGCTTCTGCAAATGCCTGTCGCTCCTACCGGCAGTGTCAGCAAACTTGGCGGTGCCTTCCTTGATAAGCAACTCTCTCTGCGTCCAGGCATTATTTTCCTCGGAGAATATCCTCTCGAGTTCCCGAAAGAGCTCGTGCTTCTCTCTAGGCATGCACTGCCAGCACTTTTCCAACCGGTACACCGGATTGCTCTGGAGACCGGAGACGATCGCCTTCAAGCTACTGAAATTCTTCAGAATGCGTAATTCCTGCGCGATATCGATCCACGTCTCGAGGATCCTGGCGCGATCCTGCGACTTGAGCGACGTGTCGGTCAGGATCGTCGAGATGACGCGTAGAGATACAGCATTGAACTGATTCACGGTCGCCACCACGGTGGCGGCCTCGTGGCTCCTGGAACGATCCTTCCTGGACCAGACAGCGCCGAGGCATTGGTGGGCGACCAGCTTCTTGAACACCTCGGCGTCCATTCGTGTCAGCTGCTCGGCAAAGTGACGGTGGGGCACCTCGGGGAAGATGTAGTTTCCCCAGTGATCCGACATCGGATCCGGGGATCCGCGCATCGGCAGCCGACCATTGTCGTATACCATGCAAGAATCTGAGGGAAGAAAGAGAAACTCGAATTAGGATTCACTGGTTTTCATTCAATTACATTTTTTTCGCCGAATAACATTGATTTTGAAATTAATATTAATATTTATTTCATTTAAAGTTAATTTATTTAAAAATTAAATTTATTTGCAAGCGTCTTTTATTATACTTTAACGAGATCGAGACTTCAAGTACAGAGTTACCAGTGAATTTTTTTCACCGAACGAAATTGATTTTAAAATTAATATTAATATTTATTTAATTCAAAGTTAATTAATTTAAAAATTAAATTAATTTACAAGCGTCTTTTATTATATTTTAACGTGATCGAGACTTCAAGTACAGAATTACAAGTGAATTTTTTTCACCGAACGAAATTGATTTTAAAATTAATATTAATATTTATTTAATTCAAAGTTAATTAATTTAAAAATTAAATTAATTTACAAGCGTCTTTTGTTATACTTTAACGAGATCGAGACTTCAAGTACAGAATCACAAACGAATTTTTTAAATACTAAACTCGTCTCTAATTTGGAATTTTTGGAACTTGGGTTTTGATAGTTTTCTTAAGCGAATTCTGAGAGAGTGAAAGGTGAACCCTGTGGGTCATGGCAGTACAAACAGAATGGTGGACCCTTAATTTATGTAGGAAGCAGACGCCTTTGTGCGAGCATAAGCTGCCTGATTGGCCTTTCACTGGCAGTAACATTCAGACTCATTCTATCATGCATTCGATATGCTTATTCTTTCGTAATACGCTGTTCATACCGCGCTAAATACTACCATTTAATATTTTCTGCATTCTAAAAATATATTATCTCGTAATGGATTATAAGATCCAGTTATATCTAGCGAATGTGCATAGAGCAGAGTCCATCTATCGTTACTTTTATACGTTTTTCCTATATAATTTCCAAGAGAAAGTTAGAAATATCATAATAGGGGGTTGTGCGGTTTAACGATCCGTAATGTACGATCTTTCTCCTCGACGATGCACCTGTAACGTAACACTCTGACGGATGTTTTGCTCGCTTATCACGATTCAGCGAATTCACAGTAAATAAAACGATATATGAGTCATTTCGATCCTATTGCATAAGCGACACCTCTACAATCTGTTGTCAGAATTTCCATTCGAGGTCACATATACATGCTTATAAATTCATTTAAGATAATTATGTTTCAATGCCATTACATAATATATTGATTTAAGTAAAAATTAGTAGACTAACGGTCGTACAAAAAAATCAATTTTATCTTCTTATTGAATGTAACCTTTTTTACATAACAGAAAGTTAAGATAAGACTCGTAACATCACAGAGATCCTGCCGCAGTTATCTACTCTTCGGTTCCTTCGTATTTGAAGTTCTCATGGTGCGCCGTATCAGTTACTTTAGAATTTCCGACGTGACTCAGTATCGAAAAAACGCAAAGAATTCGAAAGTTTATAATTTGTAACAGCTCTTTAAAAATTAATATACATATAGAAGGCAATAAGAGCTAATTAAGTTCTGTTATTAATATTTATTTGTGGAAAAAAATTTTAACATAAAATATTAGACAAAAAAGTTCGAACGTTTTGGTTGCCTTTTTCAACCTTCTTCAACGCATCATTCAAAATTAAAGATTAATGAAAATTAACAATAAATTATTCATAACTGTCAATATACTAAAACTATACAGAGACAGAGTTATTCGCATAAAATTATGTCAAGATATTATTTTTATTAATTCGAAAGTTACCTATCTGATCCTCGCGTTGAAAGCGGTGCAGCCTGTGCCTGGCCTTAAGCTCAAGTTCGGAGCCGAGCAGGCGTCGATGCGTGAAGTCGAGGAGCCTGGAGAGGAGGGGGTGGTTTGGGGGTGACTTCCAGTCGCCCGGGTACGCGTCTAGCCAGACGTGCAGGGCCTGGACCAGGGTCTTGCGATGCTGCTCGCAGCCGGCGTTCTCGTCCAAGGCGTCGTATCGCGCGAGCAGCAGCTCGAGGACCTCACGCGGAGTCGTGAACGCCCGATAGGTCGCCAGGAAGACGTTTATGTAGGTGGACTCCAGCTCGCCGTCGTCGTTCGCCAGGCTCTCGACCAGCCGCTGCACCGTGCCGGCTTTCAGGAAACGCACCCTCACCGTTTCCCATTCCAAGTGCGAGATCTCGTCGTCAGAATCCTGCGCGTCGAAAGAAATTGGATTTTTTTTTTATGTCCAAAAAAATCATGAAATTTATTCAATTCAGTACTGCCTCATAAATCATTTATTTCGAACTAATACTATTGATTCGATGTGAAAAATATTTATTTGTTTTAAATAAATGATTTATTAGGCAGTATTGAAATATGACTGAGTTTAATTTACGAAAATCATCACTTGGGATTTTTATTTGTCAGAAGTCAATCGGAAAATTTAAAAATAGCGGAATTGTGTTTTTTTTTGCAATAAGAGAAAATTCTTGAACACACTCACAAAGAAATTGGATTTTTTTATGCCCAAAAAAATCATGAAATTTATTCGATTCAGTACTGCCTCATAAATCATTTATTTCGAACTAATACTATTGATTCGATGTGAAAAATATTTATTTGTTTTAAATAAATGATTTATTAGGCAGTACAGAAATATGACAGAGTTTAATTTACGAAAATTATCACTTGGGATTTTTATTTGTCAGAAGTCAATCGGAAAATTTAAAAATAGCGGAATTGTGTTTTTTTTTGCAATAAGAGAAAATTCTTGAACACACTCACAAAGAAATTGGATTTTTTTTATGCCCAAAAAAATCATGAAATTTATTCAATTCAGTACTGCCTCATAAATCATTTATTTCGAACTAATACTATTGATTCGATGTGAAAAATATTTATTTGTTTTAAATAAATGATTTATTAGGCAGTACAGAAATATGACTGAGTTTAATTTACGAAAATCATCACTTGGGATTTTTATTTGTCAGAAATCAATCGGAAAATTTAAAAATAGCGGAACTGTGTTTTTTTTGCAATAAGAGAAAATTCTTGAACACACTCTAAGATGAAGAAACATAATTTTTTTAAAATAAAAACGCTTACCGATGCCGAGAGACTCCTCGTAGGCCGATGGTATCGGACCTTCTTCAGGTACACCGTGTATATAACGCCGTCGCCCCTCTCCTCGCCCCATAAACGCCACGTGGGCTGCAAAAATAAAAAATCGAATATCGAACTTTGTTGGGAGCAATCCGTATCAGTAGATGTTGCTGACACTAATGAAACTGATAAACAAGAAGCCGCGTATCGGGGGATGATTTACGGACTTTATATAAGCCACCACTCATCTCCTGCCGTGAATTAATAGATATAACACAGAGATTGAACGGGACAATCCGTACAATCTCCAGCTGGAGAAGCTAGAGATGTTTCGCAATCCTTTCCTGATCTAATCTAATTGATTTAGTCTTGTGTAACTGGAATTTATTATTTTTTATTTTTGCAATTTGAAATGTCAATTCTTATTACCATTATTTGATAATAACTAAATTGAGTTGGGAGAATACAATTTTCTACAAAATTAATATTCATGTTGATGTATTAACGCAATGTTATATATACGTACATTAATTATTGATCAAAATTAATTACTATCGATATATTTATAAAATTATCTTTATTTAATTGATAAATCCTTCTCGAGGATTTTCTGAGGTCTTTACTGAATATTAATTTTTTCAGATATGTTCCGTCATTTCCAGCAAGTTTTTTTATTACTTTTTAAATTATCAAGTATTTATATCTGTTAAAGAAAAATTGTCTTTAATAGAATCAAATTATGCAAAGAATACCAAGAATAAAAATAAATAAGAAAAAATGCGAAAAGTATTAAAAGTCAACGATTAATATCTATTCGTATTAAAAGAAATTTTGTTATTAATCCTTTTTGATTTAATGAATAAATCATAAAATCTATGAATCATGTCTATAATTAGTAAATATGTATTCACTAACATGTGTTTATACATGCAAAAGTGTTCCTTAACAATGACAGTCTATATCAACAGGTTTGCATAATTAATTTCAGCTTGATAAACATACGGTCTTACTCACATAATGACAACATGTATGATAAACGAGTACGGTAAAGATAATTAGCTAAGATGTCTCATCTAATCATCGCGACAAAAAGAGATCTTATAATTAGCAATGTTTCCAAACGACTCCTAAAAATAACTATCGGCTATTGTTTCTTCAAAAGTCTAATTATTAAAGATTTCAATAACAATTCAAAAACACCGTGGATTAAAATGTCAATTAATTCGATAGCAAATTAATTCAATAAATATGTAAAAAATTATAAATTATATTGTAGAATATAATTTATAATTTTTTACATATTTATTGAATTAATTTGCTATCGAAATAATTAACATTCTCGACTCTCGTAATGAATATATTGACATTAAATATTTATTAAATAAATATTTCTACAATACATATCAATACAGCAATCTTTCGTGTTCGAGAGACTTTCGTTATTATTGATTATGGAATATATGTGGAATGCGAGACATCTCACTCGTATTTGTTTGGCATTGAAATTCCGTAAATAAAGCAGGTCTGAGAGAAGCCGTGAGAGAGCTTAATGTCAGAATCGGGCGTGACAAATGCGAATTTGCGTTGACATAAGAGATCGCAACGGAAGCCGTACATTCAGATTCCACAATTCCAATAAGCAGCGATCAAAAGCGTCTGGCAGAAAGAAAAGCGTGTCATTATTACCTCGATTTTCCTCGTATCTCTGAGAAAAGAAACTACTTCGCGGTAAAAAAACGCAGTTGGATACTGTGGAGCTAGGTTATACCTGTTTACCTTGCATTCATCAATAAAATATTACTTCCTCTTAGGTACTATTTAAAGGAAATATTTCCTAGAATTACAGTTTACTGTAAAGTTGCATGCTTATACTTTGAATTTGAAAATAAAAGCGGATTAGTGCTGAGATATTACAAAATTAATGTGAAACTAATTAAACGAGAAAATTTAAATGGTCATTTTGCTTGTAATAATCGTAATAAAATTATTTTAACCGATAAAATATTAACAATCAATACATTAAAATCAAGCCTTATATTTATTAAATTAATTCCCTTTAATTTGTCTTATAATTTATGATTCGATATAAATTATCAATTTAATTTATTCGTGATCGAAAGTTTATTGCGTTAATAAAATGATAAACTCGTGCGATTTAATAATGATTAAGCAAGGTTAGCTTGAAAAGTTTAAAGCAGCGAGAAATGTCGATCGCGTTGCTAGCGAGACTCCCGAGAGAAGCTGGGGGCCTCCAAGTCCACCCGCTCACGCCCCGGAACGACCAGGCAATTAGACCCGCTCACAGGAGGAACCCGAGCGTGACTCGAGGTCCTCGTACCTGTGGCTCGTCCTTGGGAATCGCTTCCCTCGAGTGTCGATTCACCATTGTTCCGCTGTAAACAGCACGAGTCGGCATCGCGAGGCCAGTCCTTACGCAAAGCGAATATACTATCCGATCGAGGTTAAACCATAATCAAGAGAATTTCCCACAAGTCTCCGTAGAATTATGTGATATTGTGTTTAATCGATTACGTTATTTCAAGATGTAATTGCGTTTTTACCTCGAAACATTTTCTCTCTCATTTCTTATTTCATTCTATATATATTAATTATATATACACCCACACACATATATATATATATATATATATATATATATATATAATTATATAATATATAAAAACGTAGATATTTGAGAATCGCCAGAAAGAATTTAAAAAAAAAAGTAAGACTATTATATTTAGTAAAAATAAAATTATAATTTTAAAATGTCAAGAACGAACATAGTGTCGGTTTGACAACACGTCAAGACTCTTAGACGAGTTATGAGAGACTGACAGTCTCTCATAACTCGTCTAAGAGTCTTGACGTGTTGTCAAACCGACACTATGTTCGTTCTTGACATTTTAAAATTATAATTTTATTTTTATTTTCACAAATCACTTGATAAGGACTCAAAGAAGGGTCGAAACGTTGTGATTTAATAAATAATATTTGCCAGTACGGTCGAGAGAATAGTCTTATTTTTTTTATATAATATATATTATATAATTATATAATATATATATATTATAATTTTATATAAATACATAATTATTACAATTGTAATAGTATTATATAATAAGAAAATATAACTCTTTTATTTGTTGAAGCAAATGAAGCATGTAAAAGTCACAAATTAAATATATATAGTTGCTTGATAGAAAATCCTGAATTGTAAATAAATATCTCATGCAGAAAAGGGCATCGATCTAAATTATAATGATGTATTTTAACAAGCAGAGATATAGAGAATTGATAAGTGCGGAATAACTTTTATTTCCATAAAGCAGATAGTATCGTGTATTGAAAAAAAAAATAATTGAATGATTGAATAGTTTCGCGACCATTAACATTCGGGAGCAATGACTTCCAAGCAACAAAGTATCCGAATTTTATTATAATGCAAGTCGCAAACTAAATATATCAAGGATGTAAAGACGCGATTTGCGCACGTTGGGAATCGATCGTCGAGAACGAATGTAAAATTTACGCGATCATCGCGACTATAAGTAAATTGGCGACAGTATAGCAAGATTATTCATCGTCGTCTCGAGACGTTTCTGAAACATTTGTCGCGCAAATGGCAAATCTAGTCTCGCGACGGCGTCGTGGAATCTCGAAAATGTCTCGTCGGGGTCAACGGTCCGTGTCTCTCTCTCTCTCTCTCTCTCTATGCGATCCTAAAATACACCCCATTATTCCCCGTCAAATTCTCGCGGAACACCACCATGAAATCGGCGCGAAAATGCGACGCGGAACGTGGCTGTTCGAGAGTAGAAACGCAGATGGTTTTGAAAACATTTTTGACGCCAGCTGCATCGACTTTTTGTCTATTTATCTAGATTTATGGCTCTGATAGTCGGAAACCTACACAAAATTTGTATCTTATCGTTTGAACATTTGTCTAGTAAACGAGATCGAATCTTTTTCTGAACTGATGGAAACGATATTTCTAATAAATAATGTATCCATCCTATTATTTAGATAATGATAGACTCGGAATGATAATAAAACAAAATAAATGACATTTGTCTAGTAAACGAGATCGAATCTTTTCTTCAATTATGGAAACGATATTTCTGATAAAAAATCTATTTATTCTATTATTTAGATAACGATAGACTTTTAATGATAATAAAACAAAATAAGTCGCTATCAAGATTTTCGATTTGAAAAATTAACACAATGAGGCTCGTTTTTAATTAGTTTTGCAAAGAAAAATTTCTTCAGTCAAATGATTTGCAATGCAAATTATTTCGCAGATTAAACGTTGTCGAACGATCGCATTTTTCCTGTCGGAGAACGATACAGTTCCGATGACACTCTGACCCTGATTGAAACAATCATGCATGTGTCAAAGCTATCATGTATTTAAAATTGACGTATGCAATATAATTTGAAGACACTACATTCATTATTTTCAAGGTTTCGGGCAAAACTGACATAATTGCAACAATGCTTCTATCGCACATACCATATATAAACGTAGTTCGCAATCCTGTTTATCATGCATTATTCTAAAGATAATGACGAAAGCAGCAAAAAACTTGAACATAATTTTTTTCTCTTCGTGCACATCTTATAATATTATATAATATTTTTTTATCTGTGAAAACGATGTTTCTAGCAAGTTACATGCATATATAGAGTGTATCGTGAAAAAAAAATACATTCTCCAGATTAGATAGAAATGTTTAACGTTTTTAATTTTAACAGCATATACCTCTTTCTGACAGATTGAATAAAAATTGAGAAACAAATTTGAAGAAATGAATAATGAAGACATAGAAATATTAAAAAATCTTGTCACTTTGCAGATTATATTTTCTTGCATAAAAGAATCGTCCAATTAATTCGAATCTTTACTCGAACGTTTATTGCACACGATACACCCTATAAGAGAAATCTAACAAATGACACGAGACACACTTAACGAACGACAAAAGCGCTCATAAATCAAACAAGAATAAACTGAGAATATATAAAATCACGTCAGAGCACGTACATACATACATACACATAAACAAACAAAATGATTTTATCGCGCTCGATACGTTATCATATCTCGCGGCGTCGTCAGGGCTTGCAAACAAGACCACTTGCTCCTCCTTCGAGAGATGCACGTGTGACAAACGCGAGCCATCAGTGAAACGAAGCGGAACAGGGGAAATACAGCCATCCGTCCAGGGGTGGTTTCTTTACCTGTTGCACGTACCACTGGGTCGAACTTTGGCACTTCCGGTGTCCGCTGGGCTTGCACGGAGCGCAGAGCAGCAGGGGAGCCAGTTTGTTCACCCCCTTGGTAGGGGGCGCAGTCGTCACCGGTGCGGGCGACGCTGTGGGGCTCAGCCCGTCATCACCCCCCAACACCGGCCACAGCATCCACGGCTATTTTACCCTCTCAGTCCCCCTTTTCTACCCTCGGTACCCTTTTTCTCTTCCTCTTCTTCTTTTTCTTCTCTTAGACGATCCGCTTTTGGATTTTTCCCGGAGAACTACGAGCTCTCGTGACGCTCGTCGCCGGCGAACTAAATCGTCTATCGACGTCGCGTCATCACACCTCGGTGTCGACGATGACGACGGTGACAGTCGCGCGCGATCGCTCGCTCGGGATGCAGGAGCGTATCATTGCGTCCTCGGCCGAGGAGCGAGTCTTCTTTGACAGCTGCAGCTGGAGTTTTAAATTTCGATCGATTGAGCCACCGGCGAGATTCGCGGAGTCACTTCGTCATTTTGCAAAATTAAATATATGTATCATTTTAACATAATAAGCCATTTGTCATTTTTCTTTCTCTTTGACATATTATACACATTTTTGCCTCAATACTTCTTTACAATTGTAAATACAACTAGTGATAGATAAAAAGGCCAACTTATCGAGTAATTATTAGAGTTGTTCTGTCAAAAAAAATTTATTCCGTGTATAAACTAAACATAAAACATGGAATAAATTTGATTTGACAGAACAACTCTAATAATTGCTCGATAAGTTGGCCTTTTTATCTATCACTAGTTGTATTTACAATATACGAGCGAAACTTTGTATCAATTGATCTTTACAATTGATTCATTTGCCAATTTATTCTTAGGACAACTTTAACGCAACAATCAATTTTTTCATTTTTTTTGCCTCTATATTTCTATAGATTCGGATTACAAGTAAATATTTCTTTACAATTGATTCATTTGTTAATTTATTCTCAAGACAATTTATTATTTTTACTTTTGTTCTAAATACCTAAACTCTGATCGAAACATTTAGAAATCGATCTAAATTATTTTTCAAAATATAAATTTTAATTTGCTTCTAAACATTCCCTATTTCCTATATTAATCATTTTTATTCTCAATCTATCTGAAAAAATGTCATTTAATAAAATATGTATACCTACGAATAAAAACTCTTAGACTTAAAGAAAATAATCTAAACATTTGCAAGTATGTTTTTAAAATGAATTGATTTAGTTATCGATAACGATCATGAATATTTATAACACTTGCGACCCTGAAGAACAGAGACATAGTGATTTGCTTATCGAAATTAATTATTCTTACACTTGAGAGTTTACACAGAGAGAGAGAAACTAATAAAACAAATCTATAAAGAGTCTCTTATTTCATGAATGAAAGCTATACCTCTTATTAAGAACCCTCCAAAATTAATTAGATGTAAAAGATCAAAGGTGACATGCGTATCTCTACTTCCGGTATGCGTAGGCGATCATATATAAAAAGACCTTTGACTGTATGCGTTACCTTTCGTAGTGAAAGGGCAATATATGAGGCAACGTTAAAAGCTAAAAAGGCCGGAGTGCATCAAATACTGTTTGGTCGAAACTAAAGGAAACTATATCACAGAAATGTAAAGTGATTACGTTTGACATTTTACTTTACGTAGAATTTGATTATAATTAAATAATTAAAATGATAATGAGATGGAGAGAATAATATATATATATATAATAATAATAAAATATACGTTATATACATTATATAACATAATATGACAGAATTCGTACAATTATTGCTATTAAAATAAATATTTTGACATTTAATTTATTTGATTAGTTTGACTCGTTTCTCTCGCGCAAGATGGAAATTGCCGTTCTGATAAACCTGCTCTGTCAGATATAATTTCAATATCAAGGGTTAAATACATATAGGTCATGTAGTCTTTACCATGTGAAAATGTGACATGTATTAATCTTCTCAATTGTCAATTACATTGGTCGTTGTTACGTTTCGTTCGACTAATGGATGATAATCTTCATTCCGCGAATCAATTGTGGAGAATGCAGAAACGATATTTTCATGCAGCAAATCAATTTTTAATCTTTTGAAAGGAATAGTATTTATGAAATATTTTTAAAATATAATCTAACTCTCGGAAGAGAAAACGCACATTATCGCGCATTGAAGAGCGTAAAATCATTTTAAAAATATGCTTGTGCACTGTCCTTAGATAAAATATTCAGAGATATCTTGTTCTCGAAATATCCTCTCAGAAAATGAAAATCCCCCAGGGAATATTCTGTCTCACGAAAGAAAATTGAATTATCGCTCGATTCGGAATTTTCTCTGATTAATTTCCCACAAAATGCTCTTTTACTATGCAAACGAGATAACTGCTGACCTTTAACTACGGAGAGAGAAAAAATGAAAAGAGAAAGAAAGAGGGAAAAATATGCATCAGACTCTCTGATTGAGCTCTTCTTTTACTCGATCAACGAAATTCGATTATCGTTCGCGATTGGATTTTGCCGGCTGGTACCGAATGGGACAGACGTGCCATGACAGCGAGAGTGGCCCTATGTGGCGCAATACGATTAAGTAGAATACACATAGATAAACGTGTCGATGCCCGTCGACGCCTCGTTCTGACAAACGATAAAACGATAAAATAAACGCCCCGTCCATCGCGTCGCGACATCAACGAGACCGACTAGGCGCGTTTGTCCCGACCTTTATCTTTCTCGCGATACAAATCATACATCAATTTCTGGATTAAAAATATTCGTAACACAGCCATGATTGTATGTAGGTACATTGTTCTTTTGGATGTCATGTCAATTTTATCATATTTAAATAATATTTAAATAATCAAATTTAGCTGCATACATTATATTAATGTTTTTTTTTTATATTTATTTTGTAAAAGTTTTATTCAAGAATTTCATTATATACTTTGTTTATTTGCTTGTAAATAATTCTGAGAAGAGATTACGGTTTTCTTATGATTTTTTTTCTCGCGCAATGACATGTTATTTAATATAATAGTAAAAATTCCTTTTCCTTTATCTTTATCAGAACAAACATTGGCTATTAAAATGAATATTAGAATAAATACATGGACTGGATCTCAAGAATAATTTTAAATTAATTTTTTTCGATAGTATAAAAGACATTTGTCAAGGTGTTTTTTTTTAATTTTAATAATGATTAATGACAGATCTTACACTGCAACACGTGTTGCAGTGAAATACTGCTGGAGCTCATATCTCGAGGAGAGCACATGCAATTGCATTATGCAACACAGGTATTGTCCATAAAGGGAGGCATCATTTCGTAGCAGCAGGAAGCGCTTAACCCATATCAAGCATTTTGCGCTTGTCTCTCTCTCTCTCTTCTCTCTCTTGTTTAATAGCTTTAATGGCGTTGATGTAAAACCCTTCATCCGTGATGGGAAGCAGCCTAATTGCTCCTATTCCCGTGTCGAGCCCTAAATTCGCCATTAATAATAATCGCTGCCCCCATCCTTCTATGCATCCATATATAGAGCACGGATGACGAATTTTTCTCCAACTATCGATTTTTTAGATATGGATATATTTTACGAATATTAATAGATGCCTTTCTGCGATATTTGGCAGGGGACATTGTCAGAGAGATTAATAACGATGATAAAAAATATAATTGATATTCTGTTTCTCTGCTATATAAGTACGTTTAATATTAAGACAATTCAGATTATTTTTAGTTAGTGTAATAATATTTTTTTAATTTTTTATATTTATGGAAATATTATTTATCTAGATATATTAGGTACTCGAAACTTGCTGATTATAATTTTTTGTTTAGATATAAATATTAGACAAAAGTGCGAAAAAGTCACGTGCGAGATTCAGTTAAGACCGAGACTGAAATTATAACATTGAAATAAGAATATGTTGGCGAATTGGGAAACGAATGCCTAGCTAATGGGTTACTCGGTTAGTCATTCGTTACGTTGATGCGTGAGACGTTTGCACGTGCACATATGTGCATGTGTATGCGTATGCTCGCACGACTCAACAATAACTGGTTAGAGTCTTTCAAGGTGTTTCTGCGACCAAGCCTAATGTTATTCGAACAGAGAAACACATTTTTACCGCGTGATTTTTCATCTCTTTCAACATTATTCGTCGATCTCTAATTCTATAAAAGACACGTGAAAATTTTTCAAATCTCTAGAGTGAAAACAGATTGTTAAAATCAAAGTTAAATGGAATGATTGTTGCCTTTGAATTAGGAAGCTCTGAGATGCACGATCTCGAAATAGCTCTGAAATCGACAGCGGAAATGATATCCAAATGATTACATCGGCTGGGTAAAACAATGTACAAGATGTGATATAAAGAATAATATTGGGTATGTGTGCCGTATTCTCGTAAAATTATGTTTCAACATTAAAACACGTCTCCAAGGACAATAGCAATTTATAAAAGATGTAAAGCGAAAATAGAAATTTTTTCTTAAATTTTTATAAAATATGAAAATATTTAGAAAAGTAAGTAGACTTAAAATTTTTTGTCTAACAAGTAAACTTTTTTATGTCATATTTTTCATGATTTCTACACTTGTCACTCGCGTTTATCATAATTACTTTTTATTAATAATTTCATTGGCAAAAATCTATAACTATTATTAATATTATATATTTTAATAAAATCACACATATATATATTTTTCTCTATCTTTCTTCTCATTGAATCTTTCTGAAAAAGAAAGTTTACTGATCACTTTTAAAATTATGAATGAAGATTGTACACCTTATACGTCGTACGAGAAGTAATTAGCGATAACAAAGTTTCAATTGATAATTAATATAAAATATCGATCGTTCCACAAAAATAGATCCGATTTTAAAGAGAAACGAATTGCAGTACTTTACATAGAAAACTAGAATTATTAAATTTTTGATTACTTCTCTGAATTTTATGAATCATTTTGCAGCTGGATCGATTACAAACACGACAAAGTACGTGCTTGAATGCGTGACTCGAGCCACAATTGAGAGAAAAGACAACATTTTCGTTTAATTTTAGTGTCATGATATAATAAAAATTTAAATAATGTTACGTGGTCAGTAAATTGTAAAATTAAATTAATTTTCGAAAAGAGATTCTTAAATCGTACGTTTTTAAAAATGTTCCTCGCACGCAAATGAATGAAATATTATTACTTAGTAGAAATTAAGAAACACACTGATTGCAAACTTTCCATCCAAGTTCTCCAACGGGGAATCCTTTGTTCCGATTACAATAGTAAAATTCTTTGGTTTTCAATTACAAACACGCCTGATGACCTCAGCGTCTCTTAATCACCTTCGTTCTCTTAATCGTCGTCGACGAAGTGACTCGCGCGCCAAACTGGAAGAACAGCTGCTCCGAAATTTGTTACCTGCGGATCGTG